CTGCTTGCGATTTTCAGTATCGACGTCGACCATCTCAGCTACGGTTCACGCTTTTGCAGCCCGAGTGGCGTCGCGACTGAGAATTGCGAGCGAAATCTCATCATGCGAATCAGGCTTTAGCGTACATACTGCGGCGTCCACGCGGAATGAATCGCCACATGTCACATTATTCACGCGAAGTTTTGCGGTGTAACGAGCCTCGGTAAGTTCGCCGACGCCGCTCAAGTAGTCAGACATCGCCAGGAAGACGTATAATCAACAATTCGAACGCGAAAAAGGGCAGGGGGACTCACACCGACGCCGACAACATCGCGTTTCAATGGTTTGTTTATGGGCGACGGCGAGCTTTTTGCCCACACCCCCCTCGTGCATGCGCGGCGCCGGTGGCGTCCGCTAGGGGCGCTCCGGTTTGTTTGTAAACATGAGTTGGTGTATAAGAAAGTGCATAGTCCCGATGCGGCACAAAACGAAAAACAAAAACAAAAACAAATCCAAAACAAAAAGGCAGCAGAATCCCGAGCCGCAGTTCACAGTTCACCCGTCGACGAGAGTGGAAAGTTCTATCGTTCGTAATACGGCTTAAGCCGGACGACGTGCACCACCTCGGGTCGCGGCTGACGTCTTGCAGATGGGCGCGTTCCGTCGGGAAGGACTTCGTAGTTAAGATCGCCGAGGCATCGGATGATCTTGTAGGGTGCGAAATAGCGTTTCAGAAGCTTCTCGCTGAGACAGCGGCGCCGTATTGGTGTCCAAACCCATACCCGGTCTCCGGGTTGAAAGTGGACGTCCCGGCGATGAAGGTTATACCGGCGTGCGTCGACTCACTGTTGGTCTTGAATCTTGACTCTTGCCAGTTGACGAGCTTCCTCCGCGCGCTGGGAGATCAGTTGAGCGTCGTCGTTGCCATCACCGGTTGGCACGTGAGGCAGCATGGCGTCGAGCGTCGTGGTAACCGTCCGGCCGTGTACCAGTTGGAACGGTGTCATTCCCGTGGTTTCTTGAACCGCTGTGTTGTACGCAAACGTGACGTACGGCAGCACCTCGTTCCATGTTTTGTGCTCTACGTCGACGTACATGAAAATCATGTCGGCGATCGTCTTGTTGAGCCGCTCCGTTAGCCCGTTGGTCTGCGGATGATAAGCGGTTGTTCGTCGATGGCTGGTATGACTGAGCCGAAGAACTTCTTGAATCAGCTGTGCCATGAAGGATGACCCGCGATCTGTAATCAGTACTTCAGGTGCGCCGTGTCGAAGGAGAATGGACTCGACGGAAAATTTGGCGACTTCCACGGCTGTTCCCGATGGCAGGGCTTTCGTCTCGGCGTATCGTGTAAGATAATCGGTCGCGACGATAATCCACCGATTTCCTTGCGTCGATGTTGGGAACGGCCCAAGCAAATCCATTCCTACCTGCTAGAAAGGCCTAGTCGGGGCAGTTATCGGCTGCAGGAGTCCTGCTGGCTTCGTCGGAGGCCTCTTACGTCGTTGGCACTCATGGCACGACCTTGTGTACAGATGGACTGTTTTCGGGAGTCTCGGCCAGTAGTACTTGTCACGAATCCGGGCGAGCGTCCGGCTGTAGCCAAGGTGTCCAGCCGTCGGGTCATCGTGGCATGCTTGAAAGATTTCTTCTCGCAGGCTGGCCGGAACAACCAGCAGCCAAGCAGGGTTGCTCGTTCCGAAGTTCTTCTTGAAGAGCACGCCTCGCCGCAGAACGAAGCTTGACAAGTCTCAGGCCAAGACTCGCGGAACTGAACTTCCTTGGCCTTCGAGGTGTTCGATCACGGCGCGAAGTTCCGGGTTTTCTCGTTGAAGTGCTCCTATGTCGGCATCTGTCACTGCACCGAGAAAACGGGCGTCGTCGTCGTCGTCAGTGCTTTCGGGAAGAGGTTCGACTGGGACCCTAGACAAACAGTCGGCGTCGTTATGGTTGCGGCCAGACTTATGCACAATGGTCACGTCGAATTCTTGCAGTCGCAGACTCCAGCGAGCGCGGCGTCCTGACGGGTCCTTGAGGTTGGCAAGCCAACAGAGAGCGTGGTGGTCCGTGACAACGCGAAACGGGATCCCGTACAGGTACGGGCGGAACTTGGTTAACGCCCAGATGACAGCAAGACATTCCTTGTCGGTCGTCGAGTAATTTTTCTCTGCCTTGGACAGTGCCCGGCTTGCTTAAGCGATCACCCTCTCTGCTCCGTCTTGTCTTTGGACGAGTACCGCGCCGAGTCCGGCGTTGCTGGCGTCCGTGTGAACTTCCATTTCCGCTGATGGATCGAAGTGTCCGAAAATAGGGGGCGACTGGAGTCTTTCCCTCAGTTCGTTGAACGCTTGTTCTTGCTCCTCCCCCCACTGAAAGTTCACGTCGTCCTTGGTCAGATGCGTGAGCGGTGCAGAAATCTTGGCAAAATCGCGAACAAAACGCCTGTAGTAAGCGCACAGTCCAAGAAATCTTCTTACGGCTTTCTTGTCTGATGGCTTCGTAAATTCTGAAACAGCAGATGTCTTGGCAGGATCAGGGCTTACACCCTGAGCACTCACGACATGGCCCAGGAATTTGAGCTCGCCGTAAGCGAACCGGCATTTTGACGGCTTTAGTGTCAGTCCAGCATTCTGGATAGCCTGTAGCACGGCTCGCAAACGTCGCAGGTACTCGTCGATCTCCCGAGGTCGTTCACCATAACAGGGGCGCGGGTCGTTCGGGTGGAACCCGCGAAGCCCAAGTCGTCGGTATGGGCATCGGCGGTAGGTGTGGTCTGCTTCCCCGCAATGGAAGCACAGGGGGCGTCGGTCGGGTGTTCGCCACACGTCGGTTTTCCGGGGTGCGCGAGGCTCCGGGCGGGCGTTCTGCACCGGGTCGTCGTGGAGTCTGTCGTGTTGCGGCGCAGGAGACTGACGTCGGGGCGGCGCGACAAAGGTGCGAGGAGGAGGCGGTGGCCGTCGAGCCACTGCGGCGTAAGTCAACGTGGGCTCCTTGGGGGCTGCCACGACGACGGGAGCCTCTGGCTGGAAGGTTCTCTGGACTTCTTCCCGCACAACCTCGGCGATGGAGAGTGAGGCCGGGCGTACTGCAGCGGGCAGGAGCTTCTTGAGTTCCTCCTGGACGACTTCACGAATAATTTCACGGATGCCGGGGAGGGTGGTGCCAAGGTCGGATCCGGATGTCGCCAGAGTGGTTACGCCGGGGTGTCGCTGATAGTGTCTGGCGCGTGCTTGTAGGGCCCGTTCCATATTCGTCGCCTCCGTGACGAACCCGTCGACGGTTCTCGGGGGATTGCGAATGAGGCCGCCGAATATCTCACTTTTCACACCCCTCATCAAGTGGTGCAGCTTCTTCTCCTCGGTAGCCTGAGGATCGGCGCGGGCGCTCAGGCGGAGGACATCCTCAACGAAGCTGGTGGCGCTCTCATGTAGGTCTTGGGTTCTTGTTCGCAGGAGATCTTCGGCCCTCTCACATCGGTGTTGGCAGGCAAACGTCTTCTTCAATTCTTGCTTGCACACCTCCCATGACGTCAAAGAAGCCTCGTGGTTTTCCAACCAGTGCCTCGCAGTTCCTTCCATCGAAAAGTAAAGGTTCTGCAAGCAGTGCTCGGCTGACCACCCGTTATGGCGGGCCACCTGTTCATAGTGTTGCAGCCAGTCCTCCATGTCCTCATGTGCGTCTACGTGGAACGGCGTCGGAGTTTTGGGTGCGACGGGCAGGTATACGACGGCAGGAGCGGCCGGGGCCTGCGCCTGGCTGGCCATCGTCGTCTTCTTCAGCTTGGGCTTGTCCAGTAGCAAACCGTATTCAGGATCCTCTCCCTTGATGCGCCGGCTGGTCCGAGTTTCGGGTTCCGCGGGGAGTGGTCTTCTCACTGGGCTTGGGACAGACTTGCACTGCAGGCTCTTGGAGGGGAACGCTGCACAGGCATGCGGTACCCCTCACCTCCACCAAAATGTCACCAATGACAAGTGATGAGGCGGTGATTAACTGAGTAAACTTAACTTTTAATGGGGCGAACTTGTGCCCAAAAACAAAAGGGAAACGAAAGACAACTACAGAGCGTCGCGGGCGTTGAAGGCGGCGATGCAGCAGGATCGATCACGCTGAGGCGAAACTGACTCGACAAGGTCGCGGGCGGCCTCTTATCTAGAGTGAGTCACTATCTCGAAGATTCGGCGGAGAAGGTTCGAGCGTAGCGCGCTCGGGGCGAGAATGAACAAACACTTTGTAATACAACAAAAGCAGAACAAAAGCAGGGATAAACGATAGTTATGTCCGCAGCAAGAATAAACGAGAACTTTCTACAAGTCCGTGACCCTGCGCGCGGCAATATATGAGAACATACAAGCACCATATAAGAAACTAGTGGGAAGTTTCTTATAAGTTTCTTATGGGGTTCTTATATATCTTATATGATTCTTATATAGTTCTCATATAATTCTTATATGGTTCTTATATGTTCTTATATGTCTTGTATGATTCATATGTGTTGATTGGACACAAGAAATTTCTCATACAAATGATTTTTTTACTAGGGATGCCCGCAGATATTTCTTTGATCATGTCTACGGAGAAACTCCGCGTCTCTTCTATACGATGTCCGAGCTGTGCGACGCCGCTTTTAACTTGTCACCTCAGCACCACGACACTTCCGTACTGCTTGAAGTTTAAGAAAAAAACAAAAAAAAAACAACAACAATGTAACACGTTGTTGCAAACACGAAAGCGTCCGGCATTTACGTCGACACGAAGAAAAGAACGCGATCGTGACTGGAATTTCAAATGCAAGCAAACTTATCGGTAACAAAATCTTCTCTCGTACAAAATGTGTTTACACTTTAGCAGGTTGCTATGAACAAAGATTAGGTTCCATGTTGTAAGCCCGGTGTATACAATATGTACGGGTATCGAAACAAGCGTTTCGAAACAACAGGGGGTTACTGAATAAGGAGCATACGCTGTACCCTCTGTCCAAAGGAAAGCACACGCGAAGATGAGAATAGCAGCGCAATATTCACCTCAGTCGGTCGCACGTGTGGCATCAGCAACGGGAGCTCCGTGGCTGGTGACGCGCAGACAAGAGCCCAGGCGAAGTTGAGGCTGCCCGTCAGAGCGACGAAATGAAAGAAAGTCATCCTCTCAAGAGTACATTTGCTCGAAACTACGGCGTATATCAGGCGATGACTCCACTGCGAATATCACGCGGTAACTCCACAACTATGTTATGAGCAGCTACGGCAGCATGTACGCCGCCTACCTAAGCGCTCGTTGTCAGAAGTTTGTTAGCTGCAGACGTAACATATACCAGCTGGAGTTAGCTCACAAGCAAAAAATTCTGTACGAACATAAAATAATCGAAATATGACGGCAAGCATCATCAAAGAGTCCGGGTCGAACTTTGCAATCTCGATAATAATGACTCACTTTTTTTTTTTTACATTTACAGAAAAGACTTGCAGTGACGAAGCATGATAAAAAGTACAGCCCTTAAGAAGAAAACAAAACACACAATAATATGATAGCAATGGAACATGCAGCAAAAGCTGTCAAACAGCTGCTACAGGTAATTTAAACCGGAGACAACGGATGACAAAAAGGGGACACACACAACTATAGTTTCAACATTGCGTGTTGTATGTAACCCATTTGTCGTCTGTCGTCTCCGGTTTAAATTACGTGCGGTACGTGAACTTCATGACACACTTTGTTCGGTTAGGTTCGGAGCTAGAATGAAACTCACGCGTCGGAAACGTCATTCGCAGCTGGGAGGTACACAACAACTCTCTAAATAAAAATAAATAAATATAAGTTTACTACAACCAATCGAACGATCACGAGCTAATTTTTTTCTTTTTGCTGTAAGAATTGTAGTTTATACTTTTTTTTAAATTGCATTTACGACGTAGAGTGAATAGAGCTTAAACATATATCAAATGTCTCACCTCATTTTATTAATATCAGGAAAACCAAGAATAAAGGACCTGTCGACAATTGTTAACATAGGTGAGCGCTTGTCCGGTCCGAATCTTCCGTCTACACCTTGTCCCTCGCGTTAATTGTTTCCACAGTGTTTATTCGACTAGCCCAACAGTTACTTTTGATTTTGCTACAAAGCTTGAATGAAACCACAACAACAAAAAATTAAAGAACCAACTCAACTCGCCACAAACGCATAGTGCCACGCGCGTCACTAAGCGAGCGTGCACGTGGCCGAAATTCTTCTTCTCGGTTGGTGAATCACGAGCTCCGTCGGAGCGGTGATAGCGTCCCAGCCGGGCCGCGCTGACAGGCATATGACGCTTCCCCTTCAGACTGTCAGAATATACCGCCTCCTCTGCCAACTGGATCTGCAGTGCTGAACGCCGTCTCTCTGCACGCTGACGTCCGCGGGATCCCGCACCGTGTCGAGTACTTCCGCGACGCCCTGGGCCACCTGGAACTGCTCCCCGGGGCTCTTGCCTCGGGGGCATGCCAGATTAATCACGTCTCGGCTGTGAATTTCAAGTCACCTGAGGGTACGCGGAAGACCCTTGCGGCGGGCGACCTCGTCGTCAAGGGCGGACGATGCATCGTTGTCGACCCGGGCAACCGCGACATCCGCGTCAAGCTCTACTGGCTACTGTACCACGTCCCCGATGGCAAGGTGAAAGCCGCACTCGCCCGTCACGGCACGGCGACCGAAATGCGAGCCGAGAGGAGGCGGGTACAGGGCGTCATGGACTGCGGGTCGATGGCGTGCACGGCCGTCTTTCGGCTCAACCCTGAGCTCGGGTTGGACAAACTGCCGCATCAGCTGCGTATGGCCGGAGGGCAGGTGCTCGTCGTGGCGCCGGTCAACACTCTGCCTGCGCTGCGAGCGAACTGGCCACATCTGCCGCTACTGCCGGGTGCCGAAGTGCCAGTCCTGCCATCGGATTGATCACGACGCCGCCCACTGCGTCAAGACATACGCTGCGGCAACGGGCCCCGGAGCTGTTCAGGCCAGCGCTGAGCACCGCATGGACGAGGCGGCTGCGGAGAAGACAATGAAGGGGGCGGTTCCCTCTACCGGGACGCCTGTGAGCGCTCAGCCTTCAAGACAGTTGACGCGCCAGGGTCGGAGCGCCCGCTCAAGACGACTGACGCCGCCACCGCAGCGAATCTTGACGCGGTGTCAGCCAGGAAGGACGAGGCGACGACAAGGATGGATGAAGTGGTGACGAAACACGTGCCGATGAAAGCGACTGAGGGGCAGCAAGGCAATGGAGTCAACATGGTCAACGCCTGTGCGCTCGCCTCAAAACGGCCGCGTGAGCAGGACTGGGACACTCCGATGCTTGGCAACGAATCAAACAAATCTGAACCACCAGTGAAGACTGCGCCACAGAAAAAGAGGGCCCCACGTCCTTCCCCGAGCTTGGTGTCCGAACCCAGAGGCCTGGACAAGCCGGCGGGCTGATGCAGCCTCGAACCAGCCCTTACGAAGAGACTGCGCGACTGCTGGCTCCTTTTTTACATTATTATGAAGTTTGCGTATCGCGCGCGAATAGAATGTCTGGGGGTGTATGTTGTTTTTAAAGAAATCGTTGAACGCACAAGTTGAATCTGCCTTTGCCGACAGTGAAGGGCGGTTTGTTATTGTGATTGCAGTATTATTAATGTTCGGCACAGGATAATTAACATATAGACACCGAATGACTCGAATGCAAGAGAAGTGTTTTTTGAGTGCACCTATTCTTATTTACACTGTCACAGAAAGATTGTTCTGTTAAGTGACTTCGATTGTGTACGCGATGCAAGGAACCGATCCACTCAACATCGTCAACGCAATAGTAGCACACAAGTTTTAGAAGGGATGACAACGGAGTTTATGTTACAGGACGTTGCTAATTTCCGAAGGCGTACCGAAAGTGTATGGTGTACGGATTTTCAGTCCTCAAGCTATGCTCGCCTTGACCGGGTGTATGTGTCCATTAAAGATTTAGCTGGCTTTGACAACTACGATGTAGTAACAGTCTTTGTTCCGATCATGCCTTGGTCTCTTTTATTTTCGGTGAGAAAAATAAAAAAACACAGCTTCCAATGGAAACTGTGGAAGCTTAACAAACAAACTTCTCGAGGATGTTGTGTTTAATGAGTACATCGACTTTTTGTTCAGCGAAATGACTGATGAGAATAGTACCGCGAGTGAAAGATGGAAACGGTTTAAATATGAATTTAAATTATGTGCCTTGGACCGCTCCAGCACCTTGCCTACTGAAAAGAAGCCGAGGAAAATCTGCTTCTTACGGACCTTCAAAAGTTATGTAAACTTAAACGCGAAAATCCAGGAAGGTTGGCGGATGAGCCTAAATGAGCCGTGCAACAATTTTAACGCTGAAGAATTGGCATCTTCTACTCTTGAGAATGTTTATCTTTTCACAAAAGACAGACAACACATTTCCTTTCTTCAAAATGTTGCGATTCCGCCGCGTAATCGTGAGGCAAATGTTGGAATATTTCCCGACCTGCAGCCGCGAGCGGCGGCGATGCGAATCACGCGGCATGACGTCGATGGGGGTCTTGTAGAAAGATAGTAAGTTGTGCGAATAACTGCTTGATAAAAAGTAAATTTCCAAAAATCTTATCATTCCAACATAAATATATATGCGTCGAAAACCTGGTATCATCGACGAAACTTTCCTTATACGGAGTTTTAGTGGCGCCATCTATCCTAGGTCAACAAAACCGTCAGCTCAATGTGCTACCGCGAACAGCCGCCAGAAGCCGGAGTGGGACAGAGCTGGAGGGGATGGCCGGACCCGGATGAGGGTCCGGCCATTCCCTCCGGGACATGCGGGCGGAAACGGTCTTTAGTTCTTTACTTCAGAAAGGTCGAGACACCCACTCCCAAATTATTTAAGCAAAGCACTGGAATTGTTGCAGAGCTCCTTTAAGACAGTTAAAATAATATTGCCGAATTAGAAGTAGAAAAGTATAAAGGAGCTCTTGTTCAAGCTCGAGCTGAAAAATGTATCCTGGGCGAGCAGCCAACCAAACAGGCATTAAGTGCAGAAGCAGAATACGTAAAGAAGAAAAACATATTTTAAATAGAACTCGACGGCGTGCTCAGCAGGCGTCCCGAAGCCATAGAAAAATCATTTACTGATTACTACAGTAATCTCTTCCGGCGACAAGATCACGGCAGCGACTCACGACTTGAAGAGTATCTCGCGGTAATGGCCACGCCTCAGCGACGAGATAAAGGAGTGGCTTGAAGAGCCTGTAATTGTGGCCGAGATCGAGCGAGCCATTGACGAACTGGCGTCAAAGAAACTCTCCGGGGCTCGAGGGGCTGACTGCCGGCTTTTACAAGAAATATGAACACCTCATGGCTGGTCATCTTCATGCTGTATTAATTGAGGCGTACGAAACAAAAAACGTTGCCGCCTTCTTTTCTGAACACGCACACTGTACTGATTCCCAAAGAAGACGACGAGCAAATGTTAAGAAACATCCGAAAATATCAACAGTTAGCACTAGCGAACGTCGACTACAAAGTAACAATGAAAGTTTTAGCTCGGCGCTTCTGCAAGAAATGTATTAAAACTGCGTGATGAGGAACTGGATCAGGTAGCCATGCTCCAAATAGATCTATAAAAGGCTTTTTGATTGTGTCCAACATCAGGTAGTATATAAAATACTGAAAAATGTTGAAGTCAGAAAAATTATTTTTAGTTTTGTTCAAATGGTATACACTGGATGTACTACACTGGTCGTCGTTAACGGCAAACCAACACCGTGCATTAGAGTCGAGTCATCAGTAAAACAAGAATGTCCGTTGTCGCCATTACCGTTTAGCATTTATTTTGAGACCTTTTGCAGAAGCGTAATGAAGAACAGTCTCATTAGAGGTTTTTTCAGGCCAAAATTCAAAAAATCAAACTGCTCGCTTACGCGGATGATGTGAAGAACTATTGTTAAGTGACTGGCGCGTCTGTCAAATCGCAGAAGTGTTGTGACCTTTGGCATGGAACACGGGCTACTAAACCCGATGTTTTTCAAGATATAAGTTTACGTCGACGACGACCAACTATTTGGGTGTTCCACTGGCAGCAATACAAAAACTTAATGCAGACTGGATTTCGGTAGTTGTGTGTAATATCTTTTTACTTGC